CGCCCTGGCAGACAAAGACAAACAGTACAAACTGCCCCAGGACGGCATTTCACGTCGCCCTGGCAGACAAAGACAAACAGTACAAACCACAATTACAATAATACACAAGTAAGCAAACTTACCTCCGTCAGGCCGATGGAGTGTGGGAGTCTGGGGTCCCCCAAATCCCGGACGAGCCCCCAAATGTAGGACCCCAAAAGCGGTGTCCTCTTGTGACGACCCCAGAAACACAGACTCCAGACCAGACGATGCAATAGAGCAGGAGGTAATTTTTATTTCATTTGCGCAAATGGGCCCCCTGCTGCTGCAAGCAGCAAGCAAGTGAGAGGAGCCCCGAGCAGCTATCTCACACAGCTTTTAAGGGGCAAAACCACAAAATTAACATACCATAGGGTGGCGTAAGTTTATTGGGTAACTACAATGGGAGGAGGTCCTCGAGGAGGAGGAGAGAACAGAAACGGGGGCTACGTGCCCTACGTGTCTAAGCTTGCACAAGGGGAGGGGGTCCTTGAAGAGCAGAAAGGGGTGGCTACGTGCCCTACGTGTCTCGCGGTTTCTTTGTTAAGCTTGAACAAGCACAGGGGAGGGGGCTTAGGTGCATACCAGGATGTTCTGTCGCCCTTATCTCTGGGTAGTAGCCCTTATCTCTGGGTAGTAGCCCTTATCTCTGGCTAGTAGCTATCTGCTTTCTCTGTGAACTTAGTTTACTCCCCATTTCCCAGGACTGTTTTATTAAGGCCATTTTATGGCGGCTCTCGGCCGCTCCTTTCAGAAGTTAGAAAAGGAGCGAGTGAAGCACGAGGAGAGAATTCTCAGCTGTTTCCAGGTTTCTTTACAGCCGAACCCCTTGAGTGAGGCCCCAGATCTCCTAAAGGTATCGCAAAGTTCCTGGAAATGGGCACAAATCGCTTCAACTGGCAGTCAAGGAGGTCTAACAGCCACGGACATCAGGATGTCCACGGAACACGAAACACTTCGGAGGAAAGACTTAGATGCATGGAAGGGCTCGGACTGATAAGTGTTGACGACAATCGGACCAGAAACTTTAACTGGCATCAAATGCTAAGAGGTTGGCACCCCAGTGCCCTGCTTACGGATTCAAGTCTCTGGTTTCACACTGGGGTGGGAACAAGGAGAGGCTTGAACAGCCCCGCCTTTTCTGGACCTTTGTGCCTAAAGTCCTGTTAGCACTACCTGTGGTTTTACACCCCAAGCAAACCCAAACAGCCTTTTTATCCTGTTTTTTTTTTTTTTTAATTTAAAATTGTCTTTTTGTAAGTAAAAAGCAGTGTACACTTGGGGAAAGAGGATATAGCACAAAATAAAAAAAAGTATTATGTAAATATAAAAGGTAATTAATGAGAAAAAAATTTAGACGGCGGTCCCAATCAGGTCCGCCCATGGAAATAAGGCAGTGAAACTTGATTGGCTGACCTATATGCAAACGAGGAATCCGAGAGGCTCAAATATGATAGGTTTAGAACACGGTGGCGTGTTCCAGCGTTTTCGTTAGCTGTGTCCTGTTGTGCTTCCTGGAACAGTTTTTGTGAGGGGTCTCGGGAAGTTTAAGGTACTATCTGCGGCAAGATTCTTCTAATTTCCTCCCGTAGCTGTGATCCCGGGCTGAGTTACTTGTTATTGCTTATTAAATCTCGTTTTCTTTGGAGTCCATAGTAATTATAGGGCCTTAACTTCTACGGTCAATTTATCAACGATATATAGCAGTTACTAATTCATATTCCTATTTAGACCAAGAAATTCTCACAAAGGGATTCAATACATTCCTCCACATGAAGAGGTAAACAAACTTTCCGTCCTGAGGAGTTCCCCTCTTAAACTGTACTTGGAATCCCCCGCACCCCGTATGCATGCATACTGTTTTAAAATGTGTTTAAAGTTAGCTTTGGAGAGCAAGAAATGAAGCCTTAATTATACGTGAGATTTAGGAGGTTTCTTTCACAAGCTGCATTCCCAAATTGGGTCACTTAATGTTCATGGCAATCAGCATTTGCGATAGCTAACCAGAAGGAAAAAGAGACACCTCGGCGTTGCATTGCCAGCGTCCAGGGTTCCCATCTACCAGTGTTCAGCTGCCAGCTGACCTTGAATGTGAAGATCACTTTTTTTTTTTTTTTTTTTACTTCCTCATTTAAAAAGAAGCTTGCTGGTGTAAGTATAGCGCTGTGCCACGAGAATACGGGTATCAATGATGACTTTTATTATTTCAATTGAAATGGCACGAGGCTCCAGCATTCCGAGGTGCAGCTTTCGAGCCCCAGAAGCACTTGGAACCGTAAGGAGAGCCTGGCGCTCCTGGTCCTCACCCCAGACACATTAGTTGGTAGCTGTGGACTTCACGTCCCCCCCCCCCCCCCCCCCCCCCCCGTCCTGCGGTTACTGTTCTGACACCTCGGTGTTCAGAAGGAAAGGAAACTAGTGGACATAGGGGACCGTGCGTGATACTCCAAACCCAGTGAATGTGAATCAACACAGGACGTTAGGGTTTGAGCTGAGATGCTTTTGTTGAGACCCGCTGGCACTAGGCCTTGTTCCCCTTCTAGCTGCAGCTCTGGCCAAACGCAAGGCAACAGCCTTGTTATAAACTGAAACCTTGTATTCATTTGAATGTGTTTATTCTAGGGCCTAATCAAAGCTCCGATTTCACGTGATTATTCCTAGCCAAAAGCAACACTAACAAGTAAACTAGAACAGAGAGGGATAGGGAGCGGTCTTAAGAGAAGCTGGTCTAAAATCTACCGAAACTTTATCAATGAGAACATTTTCAGTGTGCTGGCGTTCATATGTAATAAGCCAAGTCCCAGGTTACAGGTCTTTTAGAGATAACGTGGTGGCTCTGAAAAGAGCCTTTGGTTTACGAAATTTGTTCTGAGAAGCCGATGATCTTACTTGGAGCTGGTGTACTTGGTGACAGCCTTGGTGCCCTCGGACACAGCGTGCTTGGCCAGCTCGCCGGGCAGCAGCAGGCGCACGGCCGTCTGGATCTCGCGCGACGTGATGGTGGAGCGCTTGTTGTAGTGCGCCAGGCGCGAGGCCTCGCCGGCGATGCGCTCGAAGATGTCGTTGACGAACGAGTTCATGATGCCCATGGCCTTGGACGAGATGCCGGTGTCGGGGTGCACCTGCTTGAGCACCTTGTACACGTAGACCGAGTAGCTCTCCTTGCGGCTGCGCTTGCGCTTCTTGCCGTCCTTCTTCTGCGCCTTGGTCACCGCCTTCTTGGAGCCCTTCTTCGGGGCCGGCGCAGACTTCGCGGGCTCAGGCATGATCAAACCCTCTGAATCTTCTAGCGAGAAGAAACAAAGTGTGGGCAAACGCAAGCACGCTGACTATTTGTGTGGTGCGAATGCAAATGACGGATTGCAGCGATTCGAATTTTCATTGGCTTATTTAGTATCTTCCTTTCTGATAGGCTAGCTTTGATCCTGAACTCTCATTGGTTCCTTCTGCATCTCCCGCCTCGGAGACTATGTCCTTTGAACTCATTACGTTTCATGGAAATTAGAAGCGGGCTTGGCTTTACTGCTACTTTCTGATTGCCTGCAATTTGTATCCGGCCACTCGGATAGGCTACTTCAGGAAACCACAGCAGGGTATAATTAACTGCTTGCGCCACCACCTTATCGATTTGCTAAGACTCTGTTTAGTGGTTCGTCATGTCTGGACGCGGCAAGCAGGGCGGCAAGGCGCGTGCCAAGGCCAAGACCCGCTCCTCCCGGGCCGGGCTGCAGTTCCCCGTGGGCCGCGTGCACCGCCTGCTGCGCAAGGGCAACTACGCCGAGCGCGTGGGCGCCGGCGCCCCGGTGTACCTGGCGGCCGTGCTCGAGTACCTGACGGCCGAGATCCTGGAGCTGGCGGGCAACGCGGCGCGCGACAACAAGAAGACGCGCATCATCCCGCGCCACCTGCAGCTGGCCATCCGCAACGACGAGGAGCTCAACAAGCTGCTGGGCCGCGTCACCATCGCGCAGGGCGGCGTGCTGCCCAACATCCAGGCTGTGCTGCTGCCCAAGAAGACCGAGAGCCACCACAAGGCCAAGGGAAAGTGAAGCCGCCGGCGTCCGTAGACTCCATTAAACCAAAGGCTCTTTTCAGAGCCATCCACCTGGTCGCAAAAAAGCTTGTAACGGTCTCCGCACTAGGGGCGACACACAGGTTTGGGCCTTACGTGCCAAGTTCTGAAGGAAAGTGCGTTTGCAATGCTTCTCAGGAGTAATTGGTGTGGTCTCCATAATACTACGGGTGGAGACTATTATTGGAACTTACATCCCAAGCTCTGACAAATGAGTTATCCCGTCCCGAGGGTACACCTGACAGTATGGCCCAAATGTCAGTACCCCAGGGTACTCCGAACACTATACCCCAAGTTTGAGGGGAGGGGCGTTTCCAGTCCATGCACATTGCCGAGGTTACGGATGCGCTCCGCACCCGACGCTGCTGTGGGCAGGGAACCGGGAGGGAAGCACTGGCGGGCTCAGGGAGCTCCTCACGGAAGCTCGTGGACGCAGAGGCGTCTGAGGGCCGCGTAAGCGCGACAGGACCGTGGGGAAGTCGGCCTGGCGTTTCCGTGCGGCACCACCCGCCGTTCCTGTCTCGGCCCTGCCCCAGCGGTTCCAGCCAGGAACGCAGCCGCTGGGCCACGGTCGCTGAAGGGAGCTCGGAGACAGCCGACAGACGCCGTGAAAGACGGAAATGGCTCAGGCAGATTGTTCTGGAAGGGCGGCCCTGGGCGTCTGCCCGCCGTTAGACAATGACTACGGCGATGAGCAACTTGGAGCCCACCTTCCTGAGGGCCCCGCAGTGTGAAAGCCGAGGAAATGGCGTTCTCCCAGCTCAGACTAACAGAAGCCCGGGGATTGGAAGGTGGAGGAATTTATCCAATGAGAGCACAGGGGCGCCAGTTACGTCACTGGAGCGTCAGCCAATGGCTTTATCGCGCGGGATGTTTTTAAACCAGAGAGCCCAATCCGACCGTTTCTCAGCGTATATAAAGGGGAAATTGGGTCGCTTGGTACGCCATTTTGGTGACTGACCCGGTGGAGCTCGGGAATGGCTCGCACGAAGCAGACAGCGCGCAAGTCGACGGGCGGCAAGGCGCCGCGCAAGCAGCTGGCCACCAAGGCGGCCCGTAAGAGCGCGCCGGCCACGGGCGGCGTCAAGAAGCCGCACCGCTACCGGCCCGGCACGGTGGCGCTGCGCGAGATCCGGCGCTACCAGAAGTCCACCGAGCTGCTCATCCGCAAGCTGCCGTTCCAGCGCCTGGTGCGCGAGATCGCGCAGGACTTCAAGACGGACCTGCGCTTCCAGAGCTCGGCCGTCATGGCGCTGCAGGAGGCCTGCGAGGCCTACCTCGTCGGCCTCTTCGAGGACACCAACCTCTGCGCCATCCACGCCAAGCGCGTCACCATCATGCCCAAAGACATCCAGCTGGCGCGCCGCATCCGCGGGGAGCGGGCCTAATGGTCCTGCTCGCCTCCGCTCCAACCCCCTTCTCAAAGGCTCTTCTAAGAGCCACCACGTCCTCTCGGAAGCAGCTGTGACCCAGCTAAGCTTTTCGTGGTGCGGTGATGAGCGCCGCACACTTAGTCCCCATAACTGGAGTCCATTGGCGGGTAGGTCTCCCCTTGGGTTTATCTTGTGTCAGATTGCTTGTTGGGAGCAGTTCAAGCTCAAGCTCAAGCTTTGTCTTGTTTCAGGAAACTGCAGACGTGTGGCCTATTTCCTAAATTTTCTCGTGAGTTTCTGGGGTCAAACTACCCGTCCCCCCCAATGGCTCCGGTAGTGTTTGGTCACCTGGCTGTGGGATGATCTTTGGTTAACAGCTCTCCACCCTGCTAAAGGCCCATAGTCGTTATTCTTTGCAGTTAACTTCTCTTTCAGCTTGTTTCCTAGGAGCCGTAGTTCCACATATTTTCCTGGTAGGGAACTCCTGTGTTTTGCCAATTATGTGAGTCGTATTTCAAGAAGTTACAGTACTACAGATTTTGGGGTTGAGTTTCTTGGTAAAATACCTCCCCAGTGGCTCCAGCAGTCTTATGTCTGCTGGTAGCGTGGTGCTAGGTGTTTGTAATTCCCGTCTCTCCTGCGGGCCCACACTCTGCATGGTGCTATTCTAGGTGATGGCTCCTGAACACAAAAGCCAGTTTACATGTTTCTAATTGTTATAGGCTGCCTTCCTGTGCGAATTCACCAGGAGTAAACAAGTTGCTTATTTAGGTAAGAATAAAGCATTCAACTGCAAGTGAGGAGCCCCTGGGACAGCTTGCGTTTATTATAGATTAGTGTTTTCAACCGTGACCTTACAGTCATGTGGAGCTTATATGGTGGTTGCCTGGCCTGGCCTAGATCAGCTTAAATTTGTGTGGATGATGGGAACAGACAATTCTTGTTACTGCATTAAAACATTGTTTCCAACAAGTGCCTTGGGCTGATCGTGTTAAATAAACTCCAATCCTGTGCTTTGCTGCTGTTTGACTCTGTTTTACCAGAGTTGTCTCATGGAATCAGGTTTTTCTGAAGTTTTGTTTCCACAAGGAAAACCAGGTGTCTCTCGTTTCTGACCAGCTGGAACAATGTCTCATTTGAATGAGTCCTACAGCAATCTGTGACTTTTATAGTGATTAACGTTAGCAAGGCAAATGTGACTCCAAGTGAGACTCCGGTCTCTTCCTGGGATTGGAGAACTGGATTTGCAGAGATATTGGAGTAACAGCCACTATTTAACTCCTCTTGGAAGAGAGTCAAGATACTTTTGTGTCTTCACATGGGGCCTTTCTTATAAAGATTACCCCACGATCCTTTTTGGGTATCCTTATGGCTCACTTGTGTGGCTTTTACCACTTATTTTTTTTTCAGATTTTTTTTAAACCTTATGTGATATTCTAGTGTGAAAACAAACCAACCAATCAGAAATGGCCATTGTATCATTCAGTTTCAAGATCGTTAATATTGGCCAGATGTTTCATGTGCATCACTTCATCCTAGCTGCCTAGCAAGATTTCATCCCAATATTCTAATCACCTACTACTCGACATTTTAACTTTGTATTCGAAGGGCAGATAGATACCTTCTATCTGCTGGTTGGTTAGTCTCCCAGTGCCTGCTACAGCAGTGGGGATTGGGCCAGGCCAAAGCTGGGAGTCAGGAACTCCATCAAGGTCTCCTGTGTGGGTGGCAGGGACCCAAGTACTTGAACCACTACACTTGCCTTCCAGGGTGCACATAGGCAGAAAAAAGCTACAGAAGCTGGAGCTGAATCAAAGCAAGGTACTCCGGTGTGGGATGCTGAAGTCTTAACTGCTGAGTGCCTGCACAAAATGGATGAATTTTTTATTTTTTGACAGGCAGAGTGGAAAGTGAGAGAGAGAGACAGAGAGAAAGGTCTTCCTTTTTGCCGTTGGTTCACTCTCCAATGGCCGCCACGGCCGGCGTGCTGTGGCCAGCGCATCGCGCTGATCCGAAGCCAGGAGCCAGGTGCTTCTCCTGGCCTCCATGGGGTGCAGGGCCCAAGCACTTGGGTCATCCTCCACTGCACTCCCTGGCCACAGCAGAGAGCTGTCCTGGAAGAGGGACAACCAGGACAGAATCCGGCACCCCGACCGGGACTGGAACCCGGTGTGCCGGCGCCACAAAGTGGAGGATTAGCCTATTGAGCCACGGCGCTGGCCAACATGGATGAATTGTAAAATGCATTGATTGCATGCATATTTGCTGCAAGTAAACATGTTCATGTTCAGAATGCACTCAGAGCAGAAAACATAAAATTCTCCTCATGGAAATTCTACTCTTCTCATGGAAACTGACTCTAGGATAGACAATAAATTAGCTAGATAAATATACGTTAAATGTTATGTGAGAAAGAAAACTACAGCAAGAACGAGTGTCATAGGAGGCTGAAATTTAGATAAGGTGACCACCGAAGACTTCTCAACGAAGATGATATTTCACCTGAGCTGCAGACAGGAGGCAAGTGGTTGGGTGTCATCCAGGAGGAGGCCGAGCACTGAGGCAACAGGTGGCTGTGGCATGAGGGGGGCCAACAGGAGCAACAGGACACCTGCTTACGTAGGGGCTTGTGGGTTGTAGGGGAAGTGTTCCTTCAGCAATCTGGGAAGCTATAAGCTGGAGTGGTTGTCTGTAGCAAGACTTAACACTAAAAACGGAGACAGGTGTGAGTGTGTAGGGATGGCAACATGGAGGAGAGCGAGTAATACATGTCTGTTAAGGCTGTCATGCTTGCTCTGTGGATTCCTCCAGTACCTCCCCTTCCCTGTCGCTGCTACGAAGGGACAGGATAGCTGAGACACCCATGATCAGCATCT